GCTCGGTCAGGGGTGCAGTCTCTATTAATCAGCAGGGGTTTATGAGAGGCAGATCTACGGTCACCAACTTGGCTCTAATTACTCAGTACATTTCTGAAGTACTCGACGGTCAGGGACAAGTTGATGTCATCTACACAGATATTCAGAAGGCGTTTGATCAAGTTGATCATTATACACTTCTGGATAAGCTTAAAACAGTGGGTATGTCTGATGGAATGCTGTTGCTCATGAATTCATATTTGAGGGATAGAAGGTTATTTGTCGAATATGGTGGTCATAGGTCGAATTACTATCGGGCCACGTCTGGGGTACCTCAAGGGTCAAATCTAGGTCCATTATTGTTTTTAATATTTATTAACGACTTGTCTTTTGAACTGAAGTGTTTCCATTTGTTTTTCGCTGATGACCTTAAAATCTGCACGTCAGTCAAGACAGTCGAGGATTGCGTCATGTTGCAAGATGACTTTGCTCTAATTTCGTCATGGTGTTCACGAAACTGTCTCAGTCTGAATGTTTCGAAATGCAAAGTTATGACTTATACAAGAAAAGTTAACTATTTAATTTATGATAATTATAACATCAATGGTCAGGTTATAGACAGATGAATCTCTTATAGAGACCTTGTAGTCATTTTTGATACCAAGCTAACGTTTACTGAGCATATACTCAATATCTCGTCGGCTGCCACTCGACTACTTGGTTTCTGTATCAGAAACTGGAAGGGTTTCTCCAATGTTGATACATTAATGACTTTATTTTTTACTTTTGTCAGGAGCAAGTTGGAGTATGCGACTCTGATCTGGTCTCCTATATACCAAAATTCTGTCGTGATCCTTGAGGCCATTCAACGTAAAGCTTTAAAGTATTTTCACCTTAAATGCACAGGTTCTTATCCAGAAAGAGGTTGTGGCCATAGGTAGAAACTGGAAGGGTTTCTCCAATGTTGATACATTAATGACTTTATTTTTTACTTTTGTCAGGAGCAAGTTGGAGTATGCGACTCTGATCTGGTCTCCTATATAGCAAAATTCTGTCGTGATCCTTGAGGCCATTCAACGTAAAGCTTTAAAGTATTTTCACCTTAAATGCACAGGTTCTTATCCAGAAAGAGGTTGTGGCCATAGTGCCCTATTAGAGTTTTTCAATTTGGATTCACTGTCAACAAGACGAAACATATTTGCTTTGTCGTTTTTGTATGGCCTCATTGACAATAAAATTGACGGTCAAAATTTACTTGAAAAAATATGTTTCCGCATTCCAAGGCTAGGGAGTCGACAACAAACGGCATTCTATTGTCAAGCTGGCCGTACAAATGTTATGACAAAATCGCCAATTAATCTCATGTGCTGCGTCATGAACAGTGTTACTGAATCGTGTGATATTTACAGTGACAGTTGTGCATCGATTATTAACTGCTATAGATCATCCAATCTTATTTAGAATGTGTGATACTATAGATTTAAGTCCAAGAACCATGTCTCTTTAATTGTTATTTTTTTCAGCGTTTCCTGTAATTGGGTTTCACCTGTTGGAAATAAATAAATAAATAAATAAATAAATAAATAAACACAGACTTACGAACAGTATCTGACAATTTGAAACTAAATGCTGATGAAACGAAACTTGTACTTTTCTGTTCACAAGCGAGAAAACTTGAGCAGAGAGTTCTTAAATGAACAACAACTTTATTTTTCAACTAGCTGTAAGATACTAGGTTTGATTATAGATGACAGGTTACGTTACCAACAATACATTAAAACAATATCTTAGAGGTGTTATTTGAATCTGCAAGTACTGTATGCCAATAAGTACATTATTAACTTCAAGACGAGGAAAAAGCTGGCTGAAAGTTTAGTGCTATCAATTATCAGTTATGGTTTGATAGTTTTTTGTCCATGACTGGACTGTTCGACTCAAATGAGCCTGCAGAGATTGCAAAATAACTGTTGCCGTTTTGTCTGTAACTTCCGTAAATTTGACCACATATCTAATAGTTTCAGGCTTTGACAATAGCTTAATATCAATTCTCTGTTCAAATATTTTCACCTAACAACATTGAATCGTGTATTATATTCTAATTCTAATCTTATACTGTAAGGAAAACTGATGATTGTAATCTCGAAGAACTGCGATTAAGTCTCTCTCAAGAATCTTGGAATATTGAAGAGCCCGATATAGATGATGCTTTCGAAAGATTCCTCAACACCATTCTGTGGCATTTCGATAGGCCATGTCCTCAGAAAGTTATTACGTGCAGATATTTAACAAAACCCAAATCATGGATAACACCGGAGTTAAAGCAGTCGAGCAACAATCTACGAAATTTGTACAAACTTACAAAAGAGAACGAGCAAGGTATAAATCTGAAGCAAACGTATATTGAAAGAAAAAAGCAACATCGCAAACTGATCTCAATGGCCAAGCAGCAATATAACTGCAACGAAATTAAAACAGCTGATAATAAGACAAAAAAGATCTGGCAAATAGTCAACCAGGAGCTTGGACGTAAAAAGAACTCTGGAGTAATTTCACTTACGGTGGAGATATGGGACAGATTAGTGTGCCTGACGCTTTTGGGAAACATTTTTCAACCACAGTAGTAAGTAAGCTCCAACACCACTTCAAAGGATCCCCAGTACCAGCAGCAGAAGCTAAAACTCAAGTAGCGCATTCAATGTTCTACACTGAGGTCACCGATGAAGAAGTGAAATTAATCATATCCAACCTTCCAAACAAACAATCGTGTGGTAGTGACTACTCGTGTTATTAAAAGTGTTTTAAATGAAATTGCAGGTCCTCTCACAACTTTAATTAACATGTCTGTCTATCAAGGCAAATTTCCTAAATCCCTGAAGCTTGCGATAATAGTTCCCGTTCCAAAAAAGGGAGATCCTACTCAAGTTGATAATTACCGCACCATAACATTGTTGTCAATCTTTTCTAAAATAATCGAAAGAGCGATTTATTCAAGAATTTTGGGATATGCTGAAAAATTCAACCTTATCCCAAGCTCGCAGCATGGATTTAGGAAACTTCATTCAATAGAGACAGCTACTTATGAGTTTGTATGTCAGATATATAAACAGCTCGATATGAATAAATGTATCGCGGGCATCTTTTTTGACCTATCGAAAGCTTTCGATACAATTGACATTGGACTTCTCGAGGAAAAATTATTTTATTTGGGTTTAAGAGGTTTTATATTAGATTGGGTAGTGTCTTTCCTGTCTGACAGGAAATTCAAAACAACCGCAACGTACAGTATCGACATTGGAGTAGCGCAAGGCTCAGTTTTAGCACCCCTTGTATTCATTCTGTATATAAGTGATTTGCATCTCTCTGGATTTGTAACAAATTATGCGGATGATACATCAGTTCTTGTAAGTGGAACCTCACGCAATGACATTATTGCAAAAATAAATGGATTAAAATGTGAAATGAAGGGGTGGTGCCAAGCAAATCGTTTGATTTTAAACCTCGAAAAGTCAGATGTTGTAGATTTTTATACAAACGCCCCTATTCTAGCAAATCATGAGACATCGAAGACTACGACATCCTTGGGAATAGAAATGGATGCAAAGCTCAGTTGGCAACAACACATGGACAGTGTGCGTAAAAAGTTGAACCAATCATATTATGCGATTCTTAAGATCAAGTTTTGCTTATCAGAGTCAGCTTTACTAGATGTATATTATGCTCTCGTCCACTCACATTTATCAAGGAACATCATAATTTGGGGACAAGCAACTTCAATTTCTAGAGCATTTGTTCAACAGAAGACTGATATTCAACATTCGTAGAAGAGAATCCTGCAGAGATATCTTCAGAAGTAAAAACATCATGACTCTACCAAGCATTCATATTTATAAGTGCGCCCTTTTCGCACATACAAACAAAACAAAATTTATACAGAACAGAAACATCAACACACATTATAATACAAGGGCAGGTGAGAGTCTGAGTATTCCAAAAGACACACTGACGCTGTTCGAAAAGTCACCGGAATACACCTGCATCAGAATATATAACAAACTTTCAGCTAACCTCAGGAATGTCAGTAGTATTCCTAGTTTTAAATGTAAACTACGCAAATTATTAGTTGAAAAATGTTTCTATTCTTTGTCTGAATACCTCGCACTGTGATATATTTTTTTAAACTTTTTTTATATGTGAATGTTTGTACGCATTAAGTTGTCCCTGTTTGTACTTTGTAAATACTTATGTTTGTTTCGTTTTTATTTTTAATTATGTGTACTATGTACCTCCCTCTTAGGACGAGTCTTATGTCATTTTTTATGATCTACAAAACAATAAATGTATCTATCTATCTATCTAATAATCCAGTATATTTAGTAGAAAAGCTGGTCTCTAGGTCAAGTATACATAATGTCAATATAAACCTATTTTACAATGCCTATGTATGTAACATCACTCTTTTATAGATCTTTCACGTATAATGCAGTGTCTCTCTTTAACATCTATAGCAGGAATATCGATATATCAAATACTAATAACATCCGTTTCAAACTGCATCTCAGAAAACGGCTTCTAGGAATTCAGAAGAGGATCAATGAATAAATTCCCTGTGATCAATTACCGTTATTTTCTTTTTTTAGTTAGATTGATAGACATACAATCGTTTACTGTATATGTAAAATACCATATTTTTATGTCAAATTAGAATTAAGCTTTAGTCTTTAGAAAGGTCGAGTGTAAGAATAGCTGTGCTAAACTCCGCCAATAAAGCCGTTTATTATTATTATATCTATTGTCTTCTCGTATTTCTTTCAGTTTGGTTCACGGGCTACTTCTGAAAAACTATTTCTTTTTATTTGTTATCCTATCTAACATAGCAATAATTCTGCTGTACAAGGTTGCAACTAAATTCCATGAACAAAATGGGGACATTAAAAGCTTTATATGGGTAAGTACTTCTGATAACAATTGAATTATTTTCATTGAATCTTCATTTGCAGTTAATAGTTACGTCGGCCTTGGAACAAGGAGTACCAGTTCATCGGTATGAGATGCTCCCAAAAATCACGAAGCTTATATTGGCGAAGTGGTGGCTAGTGACAAATATTTTGGTGAACGTTTTCTTCAAGGTATTATTAAGCGCATACCTGCTAATGCCTTATTACGAAAACTGGACTGGGGTGGACGATCTTTTGGATCGAGACTTTCGCTTTGTGGTGAGAAACCAGGAAGTCTTTTTATCTATTTAATGTATGAGTTAACTGCAAGATACATAAAATTGATATTTTTTATTGGTCTTGATCTAATGGAATAGATTTATACAGGGTGGCCAATATATAACTGACTGATTCAAACTGCGCGCCATTTTTGATACAGGCATTTCAATAGGAGTCACCGTAGTAGTTGTTTAAAGCACATATGTGCTCCGGAACATCATGGAGTGCGGCACGATCCCACAACGCGCCCGTATTGTTAAAACGTTTTACTTAAATAATGAGTCGATTGTTGCAACGATCTGGAAGCTACGACAAGATTTGGGGCAAAATAATGTACCCAGTGTCAACACAATCCGAATTCAAATTCAAAATATTTAGACATTAGAGAACCCTCGTTTCATCCATCAACGACCACCACATCCTCGTCGAGTCTCAGTTTGTTGCGATGTTTGGTATGGAGGTGTCATTGGACATTACCTCTTTGAAGACGCTGCAGATAATTCTCTTACTGTCACTGGCGTGCGCTACCGTGATACGATGCAAAACTTTCTGGTTCCTCAAATCCCACAATATAACCTGCAAAACATGTGGTTCCAGCAGGCCAGGCAACTTGTCACACATCTAGGGAGACAATGAATCTTTTGCGAACAATATTTCCGGGACCTTTAATTTCCCGATTTGGTGATGTCAACTGGCCTCCAAGGTCACCGGATTTAACGGCTCCTGACTTTTTCTTATGAGGATTATGTAGAGTAGCTGAAGAACAATATTACGGAAGCGATTGAAAATATTCCTCCCGAAGCCTACCAAAAAGTGATGGGACAATGTAATCAAGAGGGCTCAAGTTTACGCGGCTTCTAGAGGCGGACATTTGTCCGACATTATTTTTTATACGTAACTACTACTTTAATAAAAGATTAATACAAAAAAATGGACGTATTTTATGGCGTTTCACAAATGTTCAAGATACAAACCATTCAGGCACATATCGGCCACCCTTTATATAAAATATCTGTTTCTGTCTAAAATAGGCCTCGCATGATGACTACCGATTTCTGACTCACTCTTGTACAAGACCGACGAAGTTTTGTATAGAGTTTCCAAAAAGGGCAACAGCTGTCTCTGACATATGTGACACGTTCAGGGAATTTAGAGCTCCGAAAGTGGCGATGATTATAGAGCGAACTTCATTCATGCACCTTGTGGTAAATATTTCCTGCGTAAAATAACATTTTATACGGATAAGCTGGACAATGTATGAGGTCTGTAAATTGATTGATGAGACTGGCAATGCAGCATTTGATGGCGCAGGGCTCTGAAGGCAGACAGGGAACATGTGATCCGCCTTCAGTACAAGTTTTGAGAAACAGTTTTTTCTAAAAATGAGTGACATCAATTTGTAACAACCATATGCTATCAGATTTTGCTTCAAACTTGCTGGACAGGCCTACGAAGATAGTGTTTTGTCTTTCGCTGATGAAAATAACAACAGAATCCAGGATCTTGTTCGTTCAGATCGTCGGTGGTGAGTCAGAACGATCAGGGAAGAGTTAAATTTGAATTACGATAATGCTCCTTGTCAGTAAACGTGTTTGGCCAGTAAAAACATTCCTGTGGCTCCTCAGTCTTCGCCAGACTTGAGTCCTTGTGACTTTTCTCTCTTCCCGAAGTTGGAAAATCACCTCAAGAGAAGTCATTTTGGGACAGTCGGCGGCTGAAGTCTATTCCAGTATCCGAGCTCCAGCACTGCTGCGAGGAGTAAAGGGACCGTCCCCAGCGCCATGTGGCTTCAAAAGGAACTTATTTTGAGGGTAACAATTTAAAATTGTAATTATATTTGAACAAAAAGTAAAATGAAAAAATCAGTCTCGTCACTTAATATACAGACCTCGTATGTAGCGTGTGAAGCATGTCAAGCGACTGTTTTGATTCGAATTTCTAAATTTTCCTTTTTGTGGAAAGTTCTGTTTTCTACAAAAAAAGATGATAGTCCTCATACGCTTAGTTTGTAAGTTTAGGCATTATAAGAAAATATTGTATCATGTACCTTTACCCTTAAATTTTTTACCAGCCTGTTGGCTACCCGGCAAATGCTTATAGAAGCGAATTGATAAAGAATTTAATTCTCTACAAAATTGTGTCGATTACCTTTTTTCAAGATATCCGATCAATCAATTTGTCGGCAACAGCATAAGAAAAAAATTTACTGGCGCAAAAATTGTAGGAAAAAATCGTAAAATTCCAGCACTACGCATTTTAATCATAGTAAGCTAATTAGCAGGTTAGAGGCTAACTGAACAAGAGGAAAAGCTAAATATTTGTTAACAAATTATTTAGCAGACAGGAAGCAGGTTGTTTGTTTTTAAATGGTGTGACTAGCCGTCCGAGGACTGTGGTTTGCAGAGCTCCACAGGGTATAGTCCTTGGACCGCTGTTATTCACGACTTACATGGACAGTATTATCCAAAAAAATAGTCATTGTCATATAATAAGCCTTGCAGATGACACCGTTGTACTTTATACATCAAACTCATGAAATATACTGAAGGAAGCAGTAGAAATTGATTTCAAATCAATAGTTGATTGGCTGCTGTAACTAACAATAAATTTTGATATATCTCCTCGCCTACAGTTACCGTACCTGATAAATGAATAAGTAAAGACAGTCCCCATTGAGTTACTTAACATAGATGAGCAAAGTGGGATTTAATACAGAAAAAACCTATTCGTAAGCTACATCTGAACGCTTAATCGTAGATAGGATTGTTTGATTTTAATCCTTCTTGCTTTCAGAAAATAAACAGATGCAAGCTTCCTCTTAGTTTTTACATGTTCGTGACATATTTCCCGCTGGAGGTTGGAGCAGGCTACCAGTCGCCGATGTTCAGAAAGAACTCTCCTTATATTGAGAAATTTTCATCTGTAGTACAGAGAATGGTTGAAAGCGGCATATCCCAATACTGGTGAGAGTTCAACTTGAATCTTTTTACGATCACCTCGGTTTCCCAGTAAATTGCAGGAAGGTAACATTTAAGGCATTATAGGAACAAAGCCAAATGCTAGAATGGTTGAAAGCGGCATTTCGCAATACGGGTAAGACTGCAATTTGGACTTTTTTTACGATCAACAAAGTTTCTCAGGAAACATTGCAAGAAGGCATCGTTTCCCCGTCTTCATAAATTTTCTTCTTTTTGTAATTATCTGGGACACCCGGTATGATGCTTCAGTTGCACACTCAATTTTGTCGATTGTTTAAAAAAACATTGTCTGTTGTCCAATCAACTGATTTTTTCAGTTTTTCCGTTGTGGTTGCAGAACCTAATAGGAATGATTTTTCAAAATTCGAATGTACAGTTTTATAGTGCCTCTCGCTTTTCCTTTTTTAGCAATGGCAGCAGATGTATTACATAACAAGAATACATGTTTACCTTTAACTTCTGTAAAGAAATATTGTTCTTCCCATTGCGAATGGAAATGGTATGTCTTCATCTTTTTACTACTGCTCATGATGTTTCTAATTGCGGGTCAACTCTAACCCAACCGCTGGACTGTGTGCCGTTTAGTTCTAAACTGGGCTCACTGTCGCCGCGCCTTGCGTATTTATTCCGATCAAAGTAATCAAGATCGTTCTCGAACAGATCGCTCACGGCAGTGTTGCCGCTGCTTGTATTTATTATAGGAATTTACAAAATTAACGAAAGCTTCTATGATTTTTACACCTTTTATAGTATGTTGTTAGCCACCAGAATTGCCTGTGCGAGATACCAGTAGGTCGCGATCGACGGGTTTTCAACCACTGCACTAAAGGAATAAAACAAAATTGTGCTGCTCAAAATTCTCTAGATGAGTTATGAGACGTGGTAAATGTAAAGGTACAATAAGGCTTTCTTCATATTTCAATAAACTTTCAGATTATGAAGTTACCGGGAATTTTCAGTAGTACAGCTGTTATAACATCTCCTTCTCAAGCAAGACATTGATCCTTATTGACAGATATACTACAACTATTTAAAACTGTAATGACTCATACGCGTGATCAACACGTGATCAGAGCTCGATCCCGGCTTCCTTCCAGTACAGCCGTATAGCGTACGACATATGTCGTTTCTGTGGCTTTGCGGTGGTCAACAGCACAGACAGAGATGGAAATAATGGCTGATTGTTCTCCGCCGGTAGAACCAATGAAATCAAAGACGCGCCTCGACCGGCAGACTCATAGGCGTCGGCAACGCATTGGAACGTGTTTCGTTGAGCGATCGCATATTGTGTGTTTTTATAAGAATTGTTGTGTGATTGTTATTGTTGTGGTTTCTGTGGTTACTGTTTTGGTTATACTTAACCATGGAGAGTACAAATGGCACGAGTGGAAGTACTGAAAGCCAGGGAACAAGTAGACGGCTTCGTAAAGCACTGAAGAGGGACGCGAAAGAAATCGTGCTCAACGTGTTCAATTATCTGAACAGAACTATGTCGCAGGGAGATGCACTCGCGCGTTGTGAAAGTATGACAGGCGTTCCAGAGTGGACCATTCGCAGGGTGGTGCATGAAAAGAAGAAAACTGGAGCTACTACTGATCCAAAGTTTAATCTGAAGGGACGAAAGGCCGTTAAATTGGATGACGATAGCAAAATGACGTTAAGGCGAACCGTACATTCATTCTTCTTTAGGAATGAGATACCAACCCTCAAGGCTGTACATGCAGCGATCAAGGAAAATGAAATTATACCCCAAATGAGCGTCGAGGTAATGAGGAAATCCCTGCACGAAATTAATTTTCATTACGAAACGCGTAATCGGAAGTCTGTATTGATAGAGAGACCTGAAATAGTCGCCTGGCGTCCAAAATACCTACGCGAAATGATTGAATATAGGCGACAAAGCAGAAAAATCTATTATTTGGACGAGACATGGGTAAATGCAGGTCACATAGTTAAAAAAACCTGGATAGACAAAAACGTAGTGAGTAACCGACAAGCAAGCATTGAAGGTTTGTCAACAGGTCTTCGTGGACCGTCAGGGAATGGTCAAAGATTGATCGTAACTGATATTGGTAGCGATAGTGGCTTTTTAGAAGAGTATGACTTGATTTTCGTCTCTAAGAAAGGAGGTGATTACCATGACGAAATGAATGTCAGCTGCTTCGAGAGCTGGTTTCAAGGAGTGCTTCAGCGAGTTGAGCCCAACTCTGTGATCGTCATGGATAATGCTTCCTACCATAGTCGTCGAGCCGAACGTGTACCGACTATGGGATCTCGAAAAAGTGACATGCAGCAATGGTTGCGCGAAAAAGGAATCCCGTTTGACGATTCATGTGTGAAAGCGGAATTGTATGAAAAAATTAAACAGCACAAACCTGCGAACATTAGTTACGTGACTGATGAGATAGCCCGTCAATGTGGTGTCACTGTGCTGCGGGTACCGCCCTACCACTGTGAACTGAACCCAATAGAGCTCATCTGGGCTCAAGTGAAGGGTTATATTGCGCGCCATAACACAACCTTCAAATTACCCGACGTTAAGGTTTTACTTGAGACTTCCATACAGCTAGTAACGCCCGAAGCTTGGCAGAATGCTATCTGTCATGTTGTGAAGGAAGAAACAAAAATGTGTCAGCTTGACCACCACATCGACTACATCATAGAGCCAGTTATAGTCAATTTCAACGAGGAAAGCGATAGCGACAGTTTATTACTGTCAGATGTAAGTGGAAGCGACGATGAATAAAGGTAATTCCCAAATTTTTGACTTACAATATGTTTCAAACCACTCTTTATTAAGCATGTGATAAATCTAGTTCACCCATGTTAAACATTCATACCCCGCCTATGAACAGCCGACTACTGGTAGTTAAGTGATGTTCACGTGAACATCGATGAGTCATTACAGTTTTAGATAGTTATAGTATAGTGAACATCATTCTACTTAGCTTCTTCGGTATCCCTTTTTCAATGAATTTTGTGTCTTACTAGAATATAGTTGTCCTGGTCTGAGATTCTTGCTAGTTCATCGGGAAATTGCTTAGATTTGCTGTTGTTTCAGGATGGACTCAATTCAACCAGCGAGGGGTATCTTCGGACTGGACCTTAAAGCGTTTGCTCTGTCGCCCATAGGACTAGAACATATATTGTTTCCATTTTACGTGCTACTATTTGGGTATACTTGTTCCACATTAACATTTCTGTATGAGGTGTTTTCGGTTAAGTACAAATCTAATTGTCCCAAATAAACTAAGCGTGTAGCACACTAGTTTTGCATTATATTATATTATTTCATTAATTGCCGTACCTATTCAGAAATAGTTGACAATGAATAGGAGAAGGTCCATTTGATTGGGTGAATATTTGGCAGGTGCTCTGCTATAGACCACGGAGATTATCCTTTTGCCCGATACGTAAACTTTTAGTAAGCTACTAGGTCAAAAAAATATTTGTGAACATTTTCTGCTATAAATATGGCTTTGTTGTGGACATGTTTGATTTCACCATATGCTGTGTCATCAGCACAACTGAACAAGTCGACAGTGAACATCGAACGGTTTGACGGTATTGTAAGTAGGTGCTTTAAAGGTAGTACCGTACTCACTAGCTCGACAGAAATTGTTCTTACAGCGGTCACAACCTTGTCCAAGATCCCGCCACACAAATTCCGTTCTCTCTGCCACGCTATAAAGACGAAATTCACACGGCCGGACCCCAGACACAACCACCGACAATTCAATGACTACTGTACGAACAAACCTGTCGTCATGCCTCTAGCAAAGTGACCCACTACCTAGAGAAGGTAGTAATAATTATTATTTATATTAATATATAGGGGGTGTCCAAAGATGCAGTATAATCCTACAAATATGTCACATCATACACTCATCTAACTGCGCTTATAGATGGGTAATATACTAAGTGACATATAAATCCGAACACCCAGTTTAAATGGTTTTATTTTAATAAAATTTTGTATAAGTACTTAATGAAGCATAATAAGTAAATGATAAAAATTTCAAAGTGATTGCAGTGCTTTAAAGCCCTTTGACCTTTAATAATGTGTAGATGCACCCTGATGTGCTACGCATTCTCCAACGCGCCTAGGCGTGCTTCTGATCAGGTAGTCAATGTCCTCCTGTGGTATCTCATTCCAGGCAACCACCAACTCCTCTCGAAGTGCTTCTAGAGTCTGAGGAGGACGTTGCAAATTGAGCAATCTCCTACCCATCATATCCCATACGTCTTCAATTGGGGATAGGTCGGGAGATCTTGGTGGCCATGGTAGCAATGTGACATCATTATGTTGAAAGAAGTATATTGTGACTCTTGCAACATGCGGTCGGGCATTATCTTGTTGGAAAGTTGGATCTGCCAGGGTGTCAAGATAGGGTAAAAGATGGGCTTCTAGAACTTCGTGGATATAACGCTGCGCGTTCATGTTACCTCTGATGAAGATTAAAGGTATCCTGGAACCATAAGCTATAGCACCCCAAACCATAACTCCAACAGTGTGATGAACATGTCTTTCAACAAAAAACTGTGGATTCCTCCTTTCACCACGTCGCCTTCTAACCCTGGCACGACCATCGTGCATGCCTAAACAAAATCGAGACTCGTCACTAAAGACAATATTGTTCCATTCCTGATCCCAGAGTGACCGTTATCTGCACCACTCAAGGCGATTACGTCGGTGTTCTCGAGTTAAAGGGAGGACCCAGTGTGGCCGGTATGCAAACAAGCCAAAACTTCTCATTCGTCGGTAAACACTTCGCATGCCAATAGGTCTTCCGTGTTCTGCAAACCATTCATTTGCAGTGAACCTGGTAATGGAGAAACGGTCCCTTAAGGCCAATAATCTTAGGCGGCGATCTTCACGGTCTGTTGTTCTACGGCGGCGTCCAGTGCCCCTTGCTCTTTGCGTACGGCCTTCTCGAAGCCATGCCTGACAACACCTAACCACAGTGTCTACACTTCTTTGCACTCTAACTGCAATTGCCCGAAAAGAAAGTCCAGCTTCCCGTAGTCCCACTATACGGCCCCTATCAAACTCACTAAGTTGACGAAATCGTACAGGTAGGCATCGTAACCGATCGTAAAGGATGTCAAGAACCAAAATCCGCCAACGTTGATTCTTTACTGCCGCTGAAATATTCATTTTTAGAGCGTTAGTGAATTAAAAAAAGCAGTATAATAACCGGAATGTCCAACTGATAAGGCTGAACATTTTTTCACTTGTTATTTACAGTAAGATAAATACATTCACCAACTTTTATTAAAATAAAACCATTTAAACTGGGTGTTCGGATTTATATGTCACTTAGTATATTTTCAATGCATTATCTTCCTACAATAGAGTAATCAACAATATACAGCAATGTTTGAGCCATTGGAAGCTAGGATGGTCCAAATCAAGGAAAACATTTCCGAGATATGAAATACTGAGATTTACATGCTGCTCATAATTGTAGATTAACAAAACTGCAGCAATAGTTTAAAGTACCATTAAAGATAGTTCGATTTGAGTATCTAACCCTGAAATACAGGAATATTTTGAAAAAACTAACGTATTTCAGCAATACATAGCAACTGAAAGTCTTTTTCTACAGTAACAGGAATTGGTCCAATATTATCAAAACTTGCATCTATATTGATGTTGGAGTTGAGTCATTAATTTTCAGATAATGATTGTAGAAGGAAGATAAACCAAAATATGTGTGTAAAAATAAAAAAAATGTTACCTTGTTTTATAAGTATCCTACGACAAGTATTTCAGTGCGGACCTGTATTTGATCGTGCGGTCTTGGAGCACCGGCATGCCCTCCCGTGTGAGGTCTTAGGTCACCTGATTCACGAGCCCTTTGTACTACATTAACAAAGGCACAAGGGGTTGGTTGCACTCGATTGGGAAACCAATCCGCATAAATTCGTCATGCCGCGGCAGCATTTTGTAAAGACTCCCCCCCCCGTAAATAAGAATCATGTCCACAAGTTCAGCGTAAACATGTGCCATTTTTTATTTCCTTTGAGCGGCAACAAACACCGCTATTCACTCACGCGTTACCAACTGACACATTGACTGAATACAACTGAATAAAATTGTAGTAAAAACATCGTGATAAGCGTTTCTAATTCTTTCGCTTTTTTGTTTCCGATGCGATGAACCGATAAGGCGGATTATATCCGTTGTTGCCAAACACGAGCATATAATATTATTATTCAGACAGGGCGGTACTCAAACTTCTAAAGGGCTATAACTTTGTTACTTTAATTTTACCAGAAAAATGTTAAAGGAAAAAACATTTCTTTTGATCAGATCTACTCACTGTTAAAATAACTGACTCAACTTCGAAGTCACCCTGTATATTTGATGAATTAGAGATGTAAATTCCAGCAGTTGCTACATGTTTTTTTTTTATTTCCAGAAGGAGATAGTCATACAGGAGAGATAAGTTTATATGGAATTTTTAGGTGCAAATTGATAATATCAAATGGAAGTTCTCATTCAGGGTTTCTCTGTAAAACATTTTGCAAGACCCCTTTTTCTAAAAGTGAAGCCATTAGAAGTTCATTTGTCTTCTTCTACAGTAACAGAAATATTATCTAATATCATCAAAACTTGCATCTATATTTAAATATTTGAGAAAGATGGTGATGGATTAACGGTATACAATCGAGATGTATAGTCGGGCCCAGCTGGGTTGTAATTTGGTAATGAAGACTGGGCTCTAGTTGCTATAATCATCGCCAAGTACAGCTACAGAAATGTTACTTGTTTAGATACTCCATAATATATAGCGAAATATATATTGGGTGGATTTAGATGTTCAGTCGTATTATAGCACATTTTAAAGTGAAAAATTGTTTCAGGATGCGACCTAGTGATTCAGGAACAAAAGTTTTCGACGTAGACCTCGTATGGTTCATTTCCCATCCACGAGACTTGGGAAACTTCAAATCCAGCTTTTGTATCCTCATAATTGGACTCATCCTGTCCGGTCTTGTATTTATTTGTGAAATAATGTCGGTGAAATTCAAATTAAATAAGTTGACTATATTTTGGAATGAAACCGTCAAAAAAATAAAGTGCTAGAAGAGGTAGTGTGAAGTTCGAGACTTTTGCTTTTGAGTATCATTTGTTTCTCCCAGTCAGATATTGTGTACTCCATAATATAGTACAAATAATTCCCGAGAACGAAAAACAATATTTTACGCAAAATTACAGGTATTAGGATGTTTAATTAATAGCAAATCCAAAGCATTCCAAATATATGAAGCTCTGCTTCGATACAAATAGGGAGTATGCATGTGATTCAGATATCGGCTATTTATTTTCATTTGCAGTTTATATGGCTACAGAAAGCCTCCTTCATCCTCATTTACATATTATAGTGTTAATGAAAAATGAGAAAAATTGGCTGCAAATTTAGAATATCAAAACGCCATTAGCGTGAGGTCTCGACATCGGCAAGTGAGCAGCCAATGCTTGATCGCTGTCATTGATTGTCAATCTATCAGTTTGATCAGTTTCAAAGAGTTGATGCAGAATAAGCCACTGCGCTATATAGGTACAATGGTTTACTCCTCTTTTTCAGCATAGATGTCAACACGGTTGACGACGGACATGCCACCAGCTGGAGAATTTCACCGCCAAGACAACGTCTGAAAAATGACACAAGCAAATAGGATCTTTCAAAACTTGACAGCAAATTGTCCAAACATGGAATGAAAAGACAAACCATTGTTTGTGACGTCACTGCAAAGCGCTCGAAAAATGCGACGTCCAAATTAACGTCATTGACGTTACGCTTTTAAATATTCAATTAAAAAATATAGACATTTTCATGAATGAAATATGTGTTCACGAGTACATATTCCCTATTGAAGGCCGTACTTGCCTACGACTTTTGCATACAACTACACGTGTCGAAATCTTTCTTTACGTGTCAGCATTGCTACCTCAAGGACACTTGCCGCAGGATAAGCAATTTCCTTTTCCGTTGTTAAGAAATTCTAAAATATGAAGTGTTAGTAATAATTAATAAGAATGTTGAAGAGTGATGTTCCCTTGAAAGGTTGACAGCGTGTTTGAGGATAAGCAATAAAATGGAGTATGCTTTTGTTACTTTTAAGCAAACGAATTACTGCCGTCTTACTTGGCAGCATTGCTGTGATGAAGGAAATTGTATGTGATACGCTTTTCCATCTTCTTGAATAGTACCTCATTTGATATGATTGAATTCCTACCCCGTATTGAGGGCTCTATCAGAATGGCGAGTATAGGTTTAGTCTCTCTCCGTCTTGGGTAAATGCCCACCCTAAAGATTTGAGCTTGAATACAAATCTCCGAGCTATCTTCTATTGTTTCAGGGTGGAATCTGTGAACCCAGCAGAGCAAATCTTCGAATGGGATTTGACGGAGTTTTCCCTAGAACCCCTACTTCTGTCAGAGATTCTGTACCCGTTTTACGTGCTTCTAGTTGGGTATATTATTTCCATTTTAGCATTTCTACTTGAAATAATCCTGTCAAAATACTATGTGAATAGTCTCACACTTACATAAACAAAGAATTAAAGATATAAAATGTTATTTCTTAGTTTCATTCTGAAACATAAATCGATCTTCTAATATTTTGTGGACTCTGAATATGAAGGAGCTTTAGGGAAAGCTATAATATAGAGGCCAGAGGTATTGAAACATCAATATGAAGTTAATCTTCTTATGTGGGTGCGCCATCTGTTACTTTTTTTTTACCTACAAGTTTATGTAGTTACCATGTGAGACAAAAGTCATGTGGTATGCATAAATGAACTGTCAAAGGTATGCCATTTATAGTCATGGTTTCACAACAATGCATTTTCGTCCAAACTTATTGCGAAAACGGTCGAAATATAAAAAAAAAATTTCACAAACTTCGCACTAGTTTTGGCCGACATGGACGCCCTATAGAGCCTGGAATTCGTTGGATTATTAATCGTTTTGAGGAAACTGGTTCAGCTGAAGGTCGTAGACCATACCAATATACTCGTCCAGCTCGTACTCGTGAAAACATAGCCGCAGTGAGTGAAAGTGTTCGAGAAGATCCAACCACCTCGACTAGGCACCGTTCGCAACAATTGAGAATTAGTGAGACCACTTTACGCCGGATTTTACACACTGATTTATACCTCCATCCATACAAAATCCAACTAACACAAGAACTGAATCCGGCAGACCATCAATAGCGGCGTGTTTTTGTTAATTGGATGCTAGAAAGAAAATTGCAGATTCTGGGGGGCTGAAAATCCACACCAATATCATGAACAACCCCTCCATCCTGAAAAGGTGACTGTTTGGTGCGGATTATGGGCTGGTGGCATCGTTGGACCATTCTTCTTTGAAAATGCCGAAGAAAAGGCCATTACCGCCAACGGGGAGCTCTATCGCGGCATGTTAACAGACTTTTTGTGGCCACCATTGGATCGTATTGGTGCCGACAATCTTTGGTTTCATCAAGACGGAGCAACGGCTCACACATCTCGCCAAACAATCTCCGTATTGCACACGAAATTTCAAGACCGCATAATTTCAAGAAATTCAGATGTCAGTTGGCCCCCGAGATCGTGCGATTTAACACCTCTTGACTATTTTCTTTGGGGATTTTTGAAAGGAAAAGTGTATGCGGATGGTCCCTGGACAATTCAAAACCTAACTCGCAATATTCGGACTGAAATTGCGGCCATAGACCCGATTATTCTGGGAAGTCATTGAAAATTTTGATGTTCCGATGTTGGCCTGTAAACGAAGCCACGGTGGTCACATGACTGATGTTATTTTTCATACATAAACGGCATAAACCAACCTTCATGTATCAATAAAAAAATTCGATTTCACCTCGTTAAAAATCGTGTTGATTTTTCAAATAGAAAAAAAAAGTAATAGGTCAAGCACCCTATATATGATCAGTACTTACTCAGCTCGTCTAACTGCAACTCATTTGCAGACAAGAAATACTTATAATAATATATTATAATGCCCTTTATTTTATATAATGTTTAACATTCTGTGAAAGTTTCGATTTTGCATTCAACACCAAAGCTTAATACTACCATTGCCAATCAAGTGGCCGAACTTTGTGTTTCCTGGTTGCGGCAGGAAACAACTTAACATTATTGTAATTAACTGTCCTTTGCCCGGTTATAGCATAGTTTTAAGATTAACTACCATACGATATTTACAGCAAATCAACTTGCATCCAAAAAGAGACCAAAATTCCAAGAATTTACCCAGTAAACAAGAAGATATATTCAGAGTCTTGGAATGTACATCCTAAAAGAGATATTCTCAACGTCACTCAATATTCACATCTCTTTAAACCATACTCTCCTTACAAACGTTCTAAGAATATGCGATTTAGGAACGTATCGGAAATGTTCATAGCATGTTTAACATAAGGGATATCCATTTGCGGAAATCGTAATGGTATCCATTTTAGGACATGCCGGTAATCAATCTTCTTGTCATGTGACAGTAATATTAGATGGTAATAAAAAAGAGATTCCTGGCACGTGTTAACCAGAGTAGACTTTTAGAATACCTGTACGATAGTCTTAACTCTACACGAATACGTACGTATGATATAGACGTTTTATTATCGTTAATTTGCTTTGTTAGGTTTTCAGTTATCCTTCTTCGTTTCGAAATTGGACTTGAAATGTTTGCGTGCATATGGTGTGATTATACGGATATGCCTTTATCTGCAAGAGGGATATCAAACAGCAGAGATTGACCGTGTGGGTTCTGCAAATAGAAAGATTTCGGTTGGAGTGGCACATGGTTCTGTTCTCGGCCCGATACTCTTTCTCATCAACATTAAGGATCTCCCAAACAATGGGATGATGGCACATCAATATCTCTTTCAGTAAAACAACAAACGAACGCTGAATTAGCCAGATTCTGGTTTTATTCCAACAAATTGTTGCTAAATGGTGACAAGTTGTGTTCTCTATAAGAGAAATACACATCCTAAATGAATATCAAGTTAAGTTTTTTGGTATGATACTTGACTTTAAGCTCCAATAGAAAAGCCAAACTAGTTCTCTATCAGCAACTTATTGCGAGAAGTATATAGCTTATGCTCAGGTACCTAGAGCGTTTGGGCCGCAGAGGGGGGCTTTTAGATTGATGGCAGGATTGAAAGACAGAGATGATTGCAAGCATGTGCTTATTGAATGGAGGCGGCTGCCAAGATTATCTGCGGTTATAGACAATTATATTTTATAACAAATTACCTTTAAATGATTTTAAGATTCGTATTAGAATTTTTTTCGTGAATGCTTGTCACTAAATTATTAATTTTCTAAATATTAGTTTTAGCGTGTGATAGTTCAAAACTATTAAGCGTAAATAAAATCGAAAGGAAAATGGAAATGGTGTAATCATGATCAATGCTCATATTTTTCGAAGTTGCTGTATACACACCTGTGGTTGAAAGTTCACGTCATAGCGCACGAACACGCATTCTTAGTGCGTCAAAACATACAATAATCAGGCAAGTGTTGAATTGTTTACCATAACATAGTTTGATGGAGCATAAAGTAGTTCAACAGTGAAACATGCTGAATATTTTTTTTCGTCAGAAGCCGCAATTTTTATTATGTATCTTTTTTATAATATTCCACGATCTCATCATGGAATACGTTTTGCCTTTTTGGAGCCTCACCACCATACCTTGTAAAGTAAATTCTAGATATGGAAAGTATCATTTTAAGTGCTAAAGTTGGTTCACCTTAAAATTGGATGTAGCTTTTCTTAATTATGTGCTGTTCGAATATATAGTTTTTTTATGTTCGAACTATTCGATGCATTACAAAAGTTGAAGAAAGAGTGTTTCGTATAAAAGCCCACTCTTTTAACTGACCCATTTCAGGTGCAAGTGACGTCATTAAAACAAAAAAATAAAGTACCAAGAAGGTAAGTATAACCTAGACATCTTTTATAAAGGGTCGTCTTTTGTCTGGAAGGCTATGGATTGGCAAATTTGAAAATAAATGTGCGCTCCGATGGCAGAAGAGAGTGTAGTTGACAGCAGATTCTGAGTCAGCAACACCACG